TGCTGAGGATTGGTGGCGGTGGCGTCAGCGCCGGTGGCGGTGCCGGTAACAGTAGCGGGGGTCTCAGGCTTCTTGCCGCGGACGAGCTGGACAGCCGCAGTAGCAGCCACCGGGGTCGCTACAGCCGCAGCATCGGCGGCCACGATGAAGCCGACGGCGATGAAGACGACGGAGGTGACGCTGGTGCAGCTGCCGTACTGGAGGAGAGGGTCCGGCTTGTGGCCCGTAGGCTCCTGACGGTGTGTGGGGATGATGGGGGCGAAGAAGGCGGAGGTCAGAACGGGGCTGTTGGTGGAGGTTTTGGTGGCGGCGGTTTGGGGGGGGGAGCGGGGCGGGGTGAGGGCGGGACAGGGTCGGCCGGGCCCTATGCATGTTGGGTCAGCCGAATAGCTGAGGAGGCGGCGGTCGCAGGCTGTGGCAGTGGTGGTGGTGGTGGTGGTGGTGATGGCGGAGGCGTGGGTACGGCAAAGGAGTCGGAGGAGGAGTCCCTGGCAGCAGCGGCATCGGAAGAGCTGGCGGAGATTCTTGAGGCTGTGGCGGCAGGGGGCAGGTGGTAAAGGTTAGTAGCTGGTTAGGAGCTGCTAGGATGCATGTATGTATGTCTCGCAGACCGCTAATGAAGCAGGGGTGAAGCCCCGGCTGATGCTTTTCTGGCATGTTTTGTACGCACAACGCAAAACAAAGGATACAATACAAACTTTGTTATAGCGACGTGTGTGAAGTGATGGATGGGCTGGCGGTGTGAGTGGAAATACATCAAGATAGGGTGATTGTTGCCAGCAGGGGACGAGCCATGCCATGCCGCACATGCCTGTTTAATAGCTGTGTGGAGTGTGTGTGGGGGGGAGGGGGGAGAGCCGAGGCTGAACAGAAGAAACACCGGCGGGGGTGAGTGATGACACATACATTACATATATCACGTATTTACGAGTGATGACTGGGTTACAGGGTAGAGAGAGGAAAGGACGAAGGTTGTGTAGTAGCTGGTACACAGTACGGCACATGCATGTATAAAACAACTATAAACTCGCGCGAAGCGCTTGACCAGCATATCTTGGGCGGTCTTTTCAGCGGCGGCCAGCTACTACAGACAGCACTAGACTCAACACCCAACCCAATTCCCCTCTGGACGGGACACGGGCATACGCGTTTGTGGAAGACACATACCCTCACCACCAACACCACCAAGCGCAGCTACTTAGGGGCGCAGCTGCAGCTATTCCGAAGTAAGGCGATTATACAGGTCAGGTAAAAAACGTATCGGGACTTCGGGAAATGCTGTTATGTTACATTACATTACATTACATTACATCACATCACATCACATTACATCACATTACATTACATTACATTACACATACGGGAAATGACTGCAAACCCACTGTCCCGCCAATCCGGATGCTCCGACCCAGCCTGCTGCTGCCTCAAAAGGGAAGGAAATCGAGCCATTACTCACGTGCCTACCTGTACCGCATATACATGAGCCGCCTTTGTGAACACCGCAGTGGACCTAACACATTGCTGCTGCCGCTGACAGCTACTACAGCTACAGCTACTGCTGCTGCTACTACAGCTGCTGCTGCTGCTGCTGCACATACCTGCTGCACATACCTGGACAAACATATGGCAGAGGTCTGTATAAGGGCCCAAAGATGCACGAGGGCGAGCCCCCCCTACCACGACCCACACAACAAATAAAACCTAGCATGCATATCAAAGTCCCTCAGCTACCATCCAGCTGAACCTTGCTCCTCCTCCTCCTCCTCCTCCATACTGCGGGGACCGTCGGACCAAGAACCCCATGCATGTCCGTGCCGCCCACAACCCACAGCGATACATTATTATAGGGTGGCCATCTGTACATTCTCCTAATGTTCCATAGATTGCGCAACCCAAGTAAAATAGGTACGGGGACGGGTGTGGTGCACGCCTCGTAAAGAAAAACCTGTTGTTGTAACCACCGGACATGTATAGACCGACTGCAGGATACTTGGAGGTCCTGGACACACCCTCCCTCACCACGGCCCTTCCCCCGGGGGGGGCCCAGTGGACAGGAGCCTCACTCCAGTGCGGCAGCGGCCTCAATCCTCTGCTCTTATACCCTGCAGGGTGGTATCCGGGTGTTACTAATGGCTGCCAAGACAGCGAGAGGTTCCCCACTACCTATTTCGCACCCCTTGTGATGGCTCGTCCAGGAGGCCCAAGAGCCCACCCGCATGTGGACGACCGCATGCGCCAGTTCACAAACCAGCAGTGGTGCAGTCGCGGTGTGCAGAGCGCCCAAACATGCCCATCCTGAAAGCCATCTTCCGTCTTTCCTTCTTCATGTCATTCGAAATTAATAGCTGTCTGCTGCACATCCGTTCCTCCATCCCAACAGGTGCAGCTATCCACAGCTGGCCGGGCAAAGCAGCTCAAAAACGCATTTTATTTATTTTATTTTATTTTATTTTATTTTATTTTATTTTATTTTATTTTATTTTATTTTATTTTATTTTATTTTATTTTATTTTATTTTATTTTATTTTATTTTATTTTATTTTATTTTAAATCACCATCAGCGGATGTTATAGCTCCCGAATAACCTTACCCCTTTTGCTTGTCGTCATCCCACTTCCCGACCCACGAGGACCGCGACGCCCCAAACCCCACATGGCGCATACGGGAGGTTAGGGTACGATTAGGGCAGTTTCTGCATGTCTGTGTGTCTCTCTCTGACTCCATGAGGCTGATAAAGTCGGGCAGGCTCCCAGGCTCTATGAGTGGCGCCGGACTTTCGTACCGTGCAGCCGGGGCTATGTCGCCCTTGCAAATCGATAAGAGCAGTGGTGGCACCATGGCCATCACCATTGCCCTCCGCTGCCACGTGCACACCGAGCTGATGTCAAGAGCCGTAGCGACAAGCAGCTGGCAGGAAAGAGGACCTGGCGACCCCCCTGCGTGACCCGCTGGAGGGAGCTCTTGGACGGCAACAAGAGCACGCCGATCAATCCTTGCGGCCTGGTAGCTTGGAGCTTCTTTAACGACACCTACACCTTAAGTTCACGACTAGACTCTGCGGCGGTTTTATAAATGGTACTGGAAAATGTTATTTGAGTTGGAAGTAAATCGCGTAAACTGCGGGATGGCGGACCGGCGCCACAACGTTTGCAGACGAAGCGCTGCCGCCACCGCCGCCACCGCTTCCACTTCCCGGTCCTACGTCCGTCCTCCTCCTCCTCCTCCTCCTCCTCACCACCACCACCACCACCATCTCCATCTCCTTCCTTCCCCGCCTTCCCAACAACTTCTCTTCAGCTACTTCACAACAGATGCTCCTGCTGTTGAGTTCATCCTGACACCTCAGCGTGTTGCGAAATATGATGTTCCAATTAGCCGCCATGCCATCACGTGTAGAAACTAGTTCTGCAGCTTTGAGTAGCTTTTAAGCCGGGCTAGCTAGCAGGGCGTACGGGCCAGAGAAATGGAGGTTGCGCGGGTTTAGTAGCTGGCGGCTGAAAAGTCCTCTCAAGATGCTGGCGGAGGGCTTTTTGCGCATATTTATGGATGATGTGCGCACCGTACTATGCGGCAGCTACTGCAACGGCTGAGAGCTCACCGGCAATTCTCCGCATCCTGGCAATCTTAGTTTTTCTATTCGTGCGGCCTTCACCTTCGGCCACAGAAAGTCTTTCGGGCACAGAAAGTCTTTCAACTGAAATGATGACAATGGATCTCGAGGCAGTTGCATCCTTTTGCCTGCCTGCCTGTTTGCCTGCCCGCCTGCCTGCCGCTACTGCTACTGCTAATGATGATGTATTCTCTTGCCGACTGCAAGCCAAGCATGAATCCATAGGACTCAACATGTTGCTGGAGATTGCCCACGGGAAAACATCACGGATAAGGATGGAAATGGAACAGGACACCTCTCAAGCTAGCAAGCTAGGCACTGCACGCCCGTTTAACAACACAACACAAATACTTACAGCCGAAATTACGCCCGGCATGAGAATGTACGTACAAGTTTGCGATGAGCAGTCGTTGGCGATTGGAACATACAAGCTACGACATAATCCCTTTGGGTTCGTTTCTCGGTAGCGGTTACAGCATCGTGCTGACCAGGAACAGATCCTATAGCGTTTTGGACCCTAAGGATTTTGCGTTCAAAATATTTCTTCAATACAACTGTAGAGGTCGACTTACAACACCGGAGTTCAAACGAGCGTGGGCAGCCCCTAAGGTTGTTATATCCGTCAACTGGCAGTTAATAGAGGCCAATTAAAAGTGGCAACAACTATAAACTTACTTTTAATCTGGATGGGATTTGCTGGCTTGATGTGATGTTAAGCGTGACCCAAGGGTGCAGGATAGCTGCCGTCCTTTTTGGACCCAGCTGCATCCCCCGATATGGGAATGATGACTTAGGCAAACAATATTAATGAGAATCCGCTATTTAACATGATCAGCGGCACAAGAATTGAGAAATCGTCGAGCGATGATGCGCAGCTTGTCCAGGTAAACCTTGCGATAAAATATACACGAGATGCGAGGAACTAGCGTCACCTATTGCAGAAAACCTATTGCGCTGGGGGTCAGAAGGTCGGGCCATTTCTTGACCCCTGCCCTTCGCCCCTACGCTTCATTCACCCTTCACCGCGTTTCACACCTCCCGCTTCCTAGCTACCTTCCCCACATCACTCCTCTCACCCGCACCTACCCAACCCCTCATGCCACTTCCCGCTTCTTCTTCACCATCCTCCCGGCCCCTCTGTAACCCTTGACAGAGCCAGACCATATCCCTGGAGCCTGCCGTACTCAGTACGGCACTTTCGGAAATGTGGCACCAACGCCTTCTATGCGACATCATCCTACGAACCACCACCACCGTCACCGCCACCGCCGTCGCTGCTGCCGCCGCCGTCGCCACTGCCAGCCGGGATGACGCTGATGCCAGACACGACAGCAGCGGTGACACCAATGGTGACACAGCGGACATGGAGGCTTTGGGAAGCAGCATAAGCATGGCAGCGGTGGCGGGGGACGATGACGTGGTAGCGGCTCGCGGCGACGGGGCGGCTGTCGTACGAGCGGCAGTGGCCGCAGAACAAGATGTTGGGGAGGTGGAGGACCTCCCTGCGCATCGTGTCGTACTCGCGGCCACATGTGAGTACTTCAGGGCCCTATTGACGGGGGCGGGAGCGAACATGAGCGACATGGCGACGGCGGCTGCCGCCGGGCAGGCCGCCGCGGCTGTGGCGGCGGCGGCGGCGGCGGCGCCATTAGCAACGGCGATGGAGACGGCGGCCGTCGTGGTCAGCTTACCGGGTCTGGACGGTTGGGCACTCCGGTTGGCGGTTGGGGCTCTGTACGAGCGGCGGGTGGAGATAACGGCGGATAACCTAGAGGGGCTCATCTCAGCGGCGTCGTACTTGGGGGCGGCTGCACTACTGGACGCTTGTACGGCGGTGAGTGGGCAGGGGCAGAGAGTTGGATTATTGGGAAGGTAGTTCTGGAGTACGTGTGCGCATGTGTGCGTGTGTGTGTGTGCGTGTGTGTGTGTGTTTCCGCCTGTGCCTTTATCCCCCTACACGCCATCCCCCTGCCTCTCCTTAAAACCCCTAAAACCTTTGAACCACCCGATCCACGTCGATTGCGCTGTCAATCGACATCCCTTTGAGAGCTGCTCTCTCACCTCCCCTTCGCACCTTCCATTAGATTTCCCACGGACAGGCAGACAGACAGACAGACAGATTTCAGACAGACAGACACTCACCTCCCCCAACCCCAACTGAACACCCCCTCCCCTCCCTTCGCCAGTTCATCCGCTCCAGTGTGGGCCTGTCCACGTGTCTACCGCTGCTGCTGCTGTCGTGGCGCTATCAGCTGTCGCCCCTCAGAGACGAACTGGTAGGGGGTGGCGGGAAGATGTAAGGGGAGGGGGAGGGGGAGGGGGAGGGGGATTTGGGATGAGTTAGAAAGAAATAGTGTCGGTGCGGGTGTAGGGCTTTCAACGGGATTTGTGGACTTGCTGCTGATTGATGACGCGTGTCCCCCCCCCCCCCTTGCTGTGGCAGCTCGGGGAGGTAGGGGCGATAGGCGGCTTACCGCATCACAAGTCTGTCTCTGCGCCTTTGCGCCTCTGCGCCGCTTTTCTCGTGTTCCTTTGTTTTCGTAGCACTCTCTTACGCCGTTTCTTATTACATTTTTACTGCTTAAAACCGTTGCTTCGTTGTGCGCCGTACAGATGTCATACGTCTGCCGTAGGTTTTCCGTACTGGTTCGCATGCCCCTCAGCAACGATAGTAGCAGTGGTGGTGACGTTGCCACCGAGTACGAGTACGGCAGTGCTGGGTCCGATCCGGATTCGGTTTCGGAGGTTCTGCGGCTGTCTTCACTCCCCTTGGAGCTGCTGTTGGAGGTGCTGAGGAGTGAGGAGCTCCTAACGGAATGCGTAAGTAGTATCTAACTAAGAGGTTTTAGGTTTTCGAAGTTTCGAATTAGTATTATTAGGAATATATGCCAATGCACACCGTCCGTCCGTCTGTCCGCCTTTCTGTCTGTCTGTCTGTCTGTCTGTCTGTCGGCATTTCACTGACGGTCGGTTATTCGTTCATTCAGAAATTGTAGAGACCTCGCAAGTGGTCATTAACCACCAACCGTTTGCAACCACCCCAACTGCCATGCCATGCCTACCCAGGAAAGCGACGTGTTACAGTGCGCTCTGGAATGGCTCGTCGAACAGGAACTACCGGACGGTCCCCAGGCGCCGTACACTGACATCGGCACAGCTGTCGGCGGGGCCGCCGGGGGAGGCAGCAGTAGCCTTGGCGACTCTGTCAAACCCGGCAGCAGCAACGGCTGTAGCAACCCACAACCGCCCTGCATTGACAGCTGCAAACCTTGCGACGGCACCAGTCGTATCAGTGACACTGCCTCTGCAGCGCGGGAGCTGGTACGGCTGGTAAACTGGGACTGTCTGCCCGACCCGCCACATCTTCATATGACCCGTGGGTCACTGGCGGCGCAGACCCGCGCGCTGGCGTTGTTGTTGGCTGCCTACGCGGAGGAGCACCTCAGAGCGCCCGCGTCAGAGGCCCTTTCCACGACCGCCGCCGCCGTCGTCACCGCCGCCGCCGTCATCGCCGCCGCCTTTGCGCCAGCGGAAGGCGCTGGCGGCAGCGCCGTACCGCCTCCGGCAGTACTCCGCTTACGGAGGCTGCTGGCGGAGCTGCAGGCGGCAGCGACGGCGGTGGACCTGGCACCCCATGGCCCCGCCACGGAGTCGACGGCGGCGGCGGCGGCGGCGCCATCGCCACCCTCGGCAGGGGCAGTAGCTGCAGCTTCTCTTGCTGGCGCCGTGGCCTCTAACGGCGGCGGCGGTATTAACGGGGCCTTGCGTCGCATCGGGGCTGTCGTATCATCTGACGTTGAGAGTAGAGCGTACGGCGGCATTGGCGGCGGCAGCGGTCGGCGGCGGCGGCACCTGGCGTCGTGCCTGCTGGCGGCGGGGGGCCATGACGCAAGCTGGCGAGCTGTCAAGGCGGTGGAGGTGTACGACCCTCGTACGGACCAATGGATGACGGGGCCGTCGTTGCTGCAAGGACTGTCTTTCACGGGTGCCGCCATGGTGCCTGGATCTGGATTCGGGTTTGAATTCGGATCTGGTATTGGATCCACCAGAGGCAGCTGCGGTGCGGTTTATTTGGTTGGCGGCACGCCGCTGTGCAGCAGTGTTTGGCGGCTGCCCTGGGGCGGGGACGGACCCATGGGTCGCGGCTGGGAGCCTTGCCCGCCTTTGCTGATGCCGCGAGCGCACGCGGGAGTGGTGGCGGTCGCAGGTAGCTGTGGACAACGGCGGGGGGGGGAAGAGAAAGAGGTGGTTGGGCGCTGTGTGTGCATGCATGCATGCATGTATGTATGTATGTGGGCTTTGTCCTTGACAGTTTTATATCCAAAACCAAAACCACCAAAAATCCTGCCCTTAATAATGCTGCTAAAAGTGCAGCCACCTCAGCGGCCACCGGCCGTGGGTCCCTCCTGACTTCCGTATTGAGGTGACGCGTGCTGCCACGTGCGGCACTCCGTTGCCTCTTTTCTTTGTCGCGTTTTTCTTTGTCGTGCTTTTCTTTGTCGTGCTTTGCCTCTTTTCTTTGTCGCGTTCTCTCCCTCCCCCCTCACTTCCCTCTCGCCCTCCCCCCTGTCCCGCACGTCACGGCTGCAGGTACCCTCACAGTGCTGGGGGGCCGCTCCCAAGTCCAACAGGTAGGGGGGCTGGGGGTTGGGGTAGTGGAAGGGGGGAAGGGGGAGGAATGACAAGACGACAACGGTGATGATGATGCAGGACGCAAAATCCATAAATCAATATATATAAAATGAACAGTAAAGGTCTTCATTACACAAAAACCTGACAATCCTCTTTAAAAACGAATAAAACATTTATACACAACAACCGTTGCACCAAAGCTAAAGTACAACTTCTTCGTGCTAAGTGTTCCCTCGTACGGATGGAATCCATTGCTTGAGAGCTTCCTGATTTGCTTTTCTTAGCATTAATTCGCCTTATTGGGGCAAGCGACCCGTGGGTCAATTACGGAGACCGCCCACTGACCGGGCCCCGAGTCCGCAGCTCCTACAAAATCCAATCCTTGTTCGTACGCAACGTACAAGCTGGCGTTGCGTCGCCAACTCGTTGTGCATCTCCTATTAGCTTTCGACAGTTTGTACACCACGTACCCACCGCCTGTTCGTACACTCGTACACTCGCACACCCACGTCTCGCGTATCAGATCCAGCACGTACTCAGCTCAGTGGAGATGTTAATGCCAGCGTGTACGGCAGGAGCTGACGTCACCACGCCTGCCGCCATCGGCGGCGGCAGTAGATTGTTCCCTCCAGCCGCCAGCGACCCCTCCGCCGCCGCCGCCGGGTGCTGGCAGCGCGGTCCAGATATGGTCCTGCCGCGCAGCGCTCATGCGTGTGCCGTACTCGGCGGCCGTATCTTTGCGCTGGGTGGCGCCGCAGGTGGCGGTGCTCGCGGCGGCGGCGGCGGCGGCGGCGGCGGCACGCACCGCAGCGGGGAGTTTCTTGACTTGGGCTCCGGTCGCTGGCACCTGCTGCCCTGCGACATGTCCACAGAGCGTAAATACACGGCGGTGAGTAAGTGCTGCACTGGTTATCTGTCCGTTTGTCTGTCTGTATGTCTGCTTGTTCGTCTATCTGGTTACTTCCTTGGCTGCAGTCCTAATGGGTTCGCTGCCTCTGCTGCTTGATGTGCGACCCGTGGGTCGGTTCATATCTAACGCCCGGCCCCCACTAAACCCAACAGCACCCAACCGATGACCCGAGAGGATGACTCTCTCCGAGAGGACATACTGACACGCATTTTTCTTTTATCGAGTCACAGAACAGTCCATTACCCGTTCCCGCATAATTCCCTTCACCAATTTGCGCGTCCATCCACATTCCGCTTCTACTCCCAGTCCCAGTCCCGTCACTCCTAGTCGATCCCTCCCTTCCCTGCCCCTCCTCCCATTCCGCAGGCAGCCGCCCACGGTGGCCGTCTGTATGTATGTGGCGGCGTCAAGGACTCCCGCACCCGACTGCCCTCCCTGGAGGCGCTGGACCCCCGGGAGGGCAGGTGGGCCACCCTGGAGCCCATGACTGTACCCAGGTGGGGAGGTTAGTGGTTAGCGGTTGGTTGGTATCTTAGTCGTACTAGTCCGCTGTATTGTATTGTCACATGAGGCCGTCGTACATTAATTAGTTAGTTCGTTAGTTCATCATGATGTATGATGGGGATTGGGCTTCGTGGGAGTTTTGTGCAGCTGCGTTGACTCTTTGGGTTGAAGCAGTTGGTGAAGGTTGGCGGTTGGCGGTTGGTTGCGTCTTGCATATAACCCCCTCCTTTCCCCCATGTCCCCCATCGCCGCTCCCCAATCCCCAACCCCCTGGTCGGTTACTTCTTACAACAATTTCCCGATGCAGTATCTGAGTCTACCAAAGGAGCGCCTGGACTATCCATCCATCCGTCAATCTCTGGTGTGTGCTCCACTCGCATACTGCGGTAAACGTCTTCTTTCCCCCTTTCCCCCTGTTCCTCTTTGGCCCCGGCCCCCATACCCAAACCGCCTTCCTCCCCAGTATTGCCCTTATCGTGGGGTATCCGTCTGTGGTTTCTTCTCCACGTCAATCGTCTGAGGGTTCTTCTCCCCGTCAACCCCTCCCAACCCCTCCCAACCCCTCCCAACCCCTCCCAACCCCTCCCAACCCCCAGGTCAAGTCACTCCATGGCGGCCCTGGGGGGACATCTCTACGTGGCGGGGGGGCAGTGCAGCAGCGTCGACATACGGCCGCCGGCGACCTTTACCTCGGCCGCCGTCGGCATCGGCGCTGGCGGCACCCCCGCCGCCACATCCGCCGCCGCGGCTGCCTGGGGCTGGGGCCCTGCCAGGAGGACACTGTCCCCGCCGGCCTTCCCCGGCGGCAACTTTAGCGCTCTCGGAAGCTCACCTCCGTCACTGCCGTACGGTCATGTATCCGCCGGGGGGAGTGGAGTGTACGGCAGCGCACCGGGGCCTGGCGGCGCCCGGACCGCAGCGGGCTTGCTGGGGCTCGGCCTCGGCGGTGGCGGAGCCGCAGCCGCCGGAGCCATCGGTGTCGCCGTCGGCAGCGGCGGCGGCGGTGGCTGTGAGGATATGACGGTGCTTTCCGCCGTTGAGTGTTTCGATGTGGCTGCGGGGCGGTGGCGGGTGGCTGCTCCCCTGAGTCACGGGGGCAGGGCGGGACTGGCCCTTTCCGCGGTGTGAAGGCTTTGCTGTACGTGAGGTGTATTGTGATCTCATTGTATGGGGAGGACAGCGTACTTCAGTACTGCCTGCCGGAAGTATGTATGTATGTATGTGGGTAGAATATGCTGGATATGTTAGGATAGGTCGCCGGCAGCAGGATACACCATCACACGCACACACACAGACACACAAACAGACACACACAGACATACACACAGACATACACACAGACATACACACAGACATACACACAGACATACACACAGACATACACACAGACATACACACAGACATACACACAGACACACACCAGTCAAGACCGACAGGGACCGCATCATGACGCCAGAAGGCCCACACGCCTTGAGCCGTACGCACCGTGTGCCGTACGTACTTTACGTAGCGTTGTTATGCCGTTTGCTGCAGTTGTAGCATTGGTATTTGGCGGTTCTATTCTCAGTTGTGTTCATGTAGGCTGCATACAGCAGTGGCAGCAGACATCACATCACATCACATCACATCACATCACATCACGGCGTTCGTCGGTTGGACCGCCACCGTAACGCCTTGGAAGGTCCCATGAGGCTCGTGGCCTCTTCAACTGAATGCCAGGATTGCATTTGTCCACACCTGGTTACCGCAACGCAAGTAGGGGAGCTGCTATAGCAGGACGGGGGGGAGAAACTGGCAGGGGAGCGCGGCAGGTAGCTCGCAGGAGGAGTAACGCGTGCAAACAGGCGCCATTTGTACATATGTCTGTCTTCGTTAACACTTATAAAAGGAGGTCATGTAAAGGTGTGAAGTAGTGGGGTACATAGCTTCACTCCTGGCCACTGGTCTGGCAGTCCCTACTACCGCCCTTCCTGATGTGTTGCTGAGGTTTCGGAGCAACCCCCCATCCTTTTCAGCGGCCCATGAGTGTCGAGATCCGCGAGCCCAGTGTGACGTTTTCGGGTTCAGCACCCCCCACCCCCACCCCCACCCCGCCCCCACCCCCACCCCTAGACATTGGGGGAGACCAACTGCGAACTAACCAATGATGGGCGACGACAGCTCCGCCCCTGGACGGTCGGCTCGCAGGTCAATCACTGCAACCCATGCAACCCATCAGGCCCATCACTATCCTTTGGCAGGCAGAGGGCGCGTACATCGTCTCTTGTGAGGTCTTACGAGGCATGTGTATGTGTGCTGCTGGCTGCTGGGCGCTTATGAAATGCCGGGCCGGCTGGCCGGCCGGCAGGGGATGGTTGGTTGGTAGTAAACCCGATACAAAGCGAGGAAACCAGCTAAGTCAACGTGAAGATTACAGCGTGTAGGAGCCTAAATAGGCGCCTACGTGATACACGTGATGCACCAGTACACAAACAAGCACGCATGATGATGATGGTGATGGTGGTGATGGTGATGATGACGACCAGGAAGCTGCAGGCCGGGCGACCTGTGTGCCCCCCCTCGCCCTTGGCCTCCATCCATCCGACGCGCATCCATCCGTCCATCCAACCATCGCCCCACCACCCCCACTTTCGCCCGCGGGGAGGACTGTCGAACCCCGGGGGGAAAGGTGGTTATTATGCTCAGGGTGCTTTGCCGTACACTCTGCGCAGCACCAATAAGGATGGAAAGGTTTGAAAGCACGTGTGGATGGTGCACAGATAGGTAAGCCAGGCAGGCAGGCAGGAATGCCCCCATCCATCCATCCATCCATCCATCCATCCACCGACCCGGGGGGCAGATGTGACATGTGACCACCACCACCGCCGTCTATCTAAACGCATTTCTATAGTTTGCCACTAACAACTTCAACCCTTACTTCGGCCCCAGGGACTCCAGGCATCAACTTTTAATTTTTTTCAACAATTATTTTTATTATTTTCCTGCAGTTATACCTCCGCCGCCGCCGCCTGCCGCCTCTTTCCGACAGCCTACGACGTACGACAGGCCGTTGGGCCCCTCCCAGCTCCCCCGGTGTTGGTCCCCCGGGGTTGTACAGTACTCCTTTGAAGGGGGGTAACAACGCTGAGTGAAAGGTGGTGGTGTATCGCACATACATACGCACATACATACGTGCGCACTAGTCCGCAATTTCTAACTGACACCAGAATAAGATAAGCGGTTTATTGGAGCCCTTACTGTCGCGGCCACTAACAAAGACAGATTTGCCCGCTCGCCAACATGACAGACAAATAATGTAAAATCAACAAAGCAATGCTGGGCGCGCCCCGGAGGGCACTGATAAGAAAATACAACGAACATGAAGCCACCCGCGAACACCATCACCGGGCCGCCACCCAGGCAACTCTTTCCTTCCGCACACCTTTGGCACCTTTGGCACACCCCTCGAGCTCGACCCTCAAAGGCCCCCCTGCTGCTGCTTGATTTACTTATTTAGCAGCATTTACCTCTTTATTGATTACGGCAGGTTGAGGCTTCAGCTTACCGACAAAATGCAACAATTGGTGGTACAACTACACAGGATTACGAAACATCCCAGCCGCCACGCTGTAAACAAAATCGATCGGAATACGACACGGTTTCACGATACACACGAAGCAGCCACTCCCCCCGGGGGGCCAGGCGCGCCATGCAGGAGAAGTGCGTGCTGCCCGTACTGTCGTACATATAACCATACATCACGGTTGACGTACATTTCATCATCGCATGAACTTCTTGCAGCACTAGCATCAAGCAGCAGGACTAGTAGATGTATGTGACATGTACATACATACATACGTACTTATACGAATCTGTAAAATACGCCACGCGAGCTATAAAACGCCCGTACCCACACACGTCCATACATACAGACAAATACGTGCCGCGGACCGTTGCGGTGGCAGTCGGATGAACGGAGATACATACATACATACATACATACATACATACATACATACGGCACCACGGGGCCACCACAGGCGCCCCGGGTGGGAGTGCACATGCGAATCATAGCTTGAAAGCTTTGCAAGGACATCACCTCACCTCACCTCACCTCACACATTAGATCGAATGCGCGGCCACCGTCAACTTGCCGCCGCCCCCTCCACCCCAGACCCACAGCCCCACAGCTCCTCTTTACCGCCCCCCCCGGCACCGCCAAGTACCTTTCACGCCCCACGTAAATCAGGTTTTGCATCGCACCACCATGCAAGACATTTATCCAGCCAGCCATTAAACCACCCACCCAAAGCCATATTACTGCCATCAGTCGCAACCTCACGCTCAGCACCACCACCACCACCACCACCAGCTGCCCCAGTCATTGCCCCAATGCTGATTGGGCACCACAGCTGTACCCTTATTTAAACACGCCGTACATCTCCTCATGCCGCAGAGAACCAAGTGCACCACCACTGTAACCCCGGACAGCGCACATACACATTCCAAACGGGATGTTTGACCTTCCCGTCATCAGGTGTACGGCACGTACGACATCTATGGTGTACGACATTCGCTTCAATGCCCGTGCCTGCCAGTCCCCATCCATAAATTCGCCCGATTCTGCGTTGGTGGCTTACTAACGAAAGAGAACGTTAGAGCCCCCGAACCCCGATGTGTCCGGATGTGAAGTCAAGGAACGTAAAAAGCAGAGGTTCAGTTTCATGTTCCTCCTCCCGGCGGCGGCGGAGAGGTGGGATCTGGGGTGGCAGGTCGTGCAGATCATTGTGAATTTCCCTCACACATCGCCTCAACACTTTCCAACACACGCACACACAATCACACAAACGGACAACGGCGCAGTCCACCAGTGCATTCAGGACTCGAAAAATCAAAATGAGCAGTCAACGGCTTCTCACAAAAACAGACCTGAACACGCACACCCTTCACCTTGCATGCAACCCTCTGCTTAGCCCCCCCTACCTCCTTCCTCGCGTGCGCTTTCCCAATCTCCCAAAAATCGTTTTTCCTCTTGTCCCCTCCTCTCCATAACCTCCATCAATCACATACATACATACATACATACATACATACATACAAACACATGTCCGGGCCCTGTGTTTATTTCAAATGCTTCCCGGTGGGGTAGGTGAATGGGTGGTGACGTGACGAAAAGGAACTAGGAATCCATGGAACGGAGGGGCATCCAGGGGCATAAGGCCCCCCCTCCGACCCGCACACCCCCGCTACTACTTTGGTAGACATCCCAAATCGGAAAGGCTCCTCCCGCACCACCGCCGCCAGGAAGTCCATATACTATCTAACTGCTCCACGCTTGTAGTACTTTTCCGAAACGTGACCCAAAAGACACACAGAGACAGACAGACACACGCAAGCGACAGGTACCCATAGCGGAGCCTGCCCTGGCGGATGTCGGGTCCGGTCCGGTCCGGTCCGGTGTGTATTATTGTACAGCTCAAGGTTACAGCACCTCTACCTTCCAGTGGCTGAGTGGTTCCGTGATCTGACACCTGATCACCTCACTGGGGGAGATGTCCCAACCCAACCCAACCCAACCCAACCCAACCCAACGCACAGCCTCCCCTTCTCCAACAACCCGCGCTGCTTGCTCTCGCCAGATGGGTACCTCACACACAAACGTGCGCGAGCGTGTCCTAACAGGCATTCAGGGGTTCTGCACGTACGGACACGCATACGCACAAGCGCACATACATACACGTACATACATACGCACGCACTTGGCGGCGTTTCATTTCGATGACAAGCTGCCCACACCCGCTACGAGCTGGCTGAGAGCCAGGGAAGGCGAGAGCAGCAGCAGCAGCAGCAGCAGCAGCAGCAGCAGCAGCAGCAGCAGCAGCAGCAGCAGCTCTTGGCCGTTTTATTTATTAGACATCAACCCATTCCCCAATCCATGACCTGGTGGCCATATGTGATCGCCCTTTGACAAGTTATTCAAGTAATCATAAATAATCATCGAAAAAAAGTGGTATCGCCCCCGCGCTGAGATCAATGAGATGACCGGGTTGCCAAACCGCATTCCGGTGTGGCCACATTTCCTCGGGGTGAGGTGAGGTGAGGTGAGGAAGGTC